ATAAAAAAGGTGAACATTTTATCACTAGACCAATATTTATGTAAGCTTGTACTTTGTGCATTCGAATCGTTAAATAGTGTTCCTGTGTGTATGGTGTATTATATAGCTGGTGTGGCTGAGTGGACATAAGTCTAAGCACTTAACTAATATAATGTAAATAAACTAAGTGTCCCACGTCCTCAGTTCTAATGCCTGCTTTATAAAAGACCCCATAATCTTTAACCTGAAACCACTTTTGTTTGGAATTTCTTTTTACAGTGACAATTACATATTTGTCAGGGAGGTCAAACAAGATGTGACATGAGTGGTCAAAGATCCATTAAGTTTTTTTTTTAATTCTGAATAGTATCAACGGTTCCATTCATAAAAAAATCACTATATGTGTAATCGTTTTCACGTTTTGTCCATTGACTGGTATAATCCTCGGCTAAATCCATTAACTGTTTTAACTTGAGTTGTGTTACCGGATAAAAGATTTAGTCTGACGGTATTTCGGTCCCTTGGTTTATACATTTCGTAGAGAAGTATGTTGTTTATGTTTAACCTGCAACACGTATTTGAAGTTGAGAAATTTTAGATGCAATTGGTGAGTTATATGTTTATCAGATGTTTTGAACGGATTTTAAAAGTGAGGTATTTGTGATTTTACTGATTAAGAATGAAGAATATTACTTAAAAGATGACACTAATAAATATTAATCTTAAAAGTCTAGGAACAAACCTAAGTTGTACGACTTTGCCCCCCGCAGAGCTATAGAAAAACAGTACATTAACGGGTGTTACACGGACTCTTTTTAGATGATACACGGACTCTTTTTAGTTGTTACACGGACACTTTTTATGAATAGATTCACTCGTGCATGATCAGTGAGTTCATGGGCACTTTAACTTTCAATTAGATTTGAACTTTTTGGTTCACCGACATATTTCCTGTCTTTTTATTAAACAAAATATTTACGTTAGCATCAATATCTTTTTTCAAACATTTTCAGTAAAATACTATTCATATCAGTACACTAAGGGATTAGACATTTAACTTCAAAAAGGGGGGGGGGGGGTATGGTTTTCTCCTAAAAAAAGATATTTTGATCCCAAATTTTATGAGAAAAAATTTACTATGGTCAAGCAGATGACAAATTAATGTTCTGCATGATTCCTGATACCGTATAGTGCTAATTTAAACAAAAATATTTGGGTGATGGCGTTGAAAAGTAAAAAGTTAATATACTCAGAAAAGAACCGCCCCATTTATGAAGCGAAATAATCGGTCAATAAATGTTTTCTTCGATATATGGACATGAATAGTATTTTGGACAATGCTGAAAGTAAAGAAATGATGATACCGACGTTCATATTTCAATAAAAAAAGACAGGAAATAAGTAAATAAAAATCAAATCTTATCAAAAGATAAAATCCCTATCAACTCACCAATGCACGATTGATCCTATAAAAAAAAAGTGTTCGTGTAATACACGTCCAAATAAGCAGCAAATCTAGAAGAAAATCATTCAACTTATGTCATCAATTTTGGACGGTAAGCTGCGATTGGACCATATAGTAACACGTGTTTAATCCCGATCAACACTTGCAGATCTAGAGACGAGCATGAATTTAAAAAAAAAATCAAAGTATATGCCTGAATATATATAATATTAAGACAAAATCCATTTTTTCATAACATTTCATTTACTAATGAAGTAGGAAATTCATTTTTTTGATACATTTATATTGTTATTGAATTTATATATACATATATATCAGAGCGGATCCAGCCATTTTAAAAAAAGGGGGTTCTCAATCCAGGACAAAACAGGGGAGGGGGTCCAACTATATGTCCCCATTTAAATGTATTGATCGTTCAAAAAAGGGGTGTTACAACCCCTGGGACCCCCACCACTGAATATTGAATTCATGTATTTGGCAACAAACGTGCGATTTTTACGATTTTTTTAAAGGGGGAATGGAGGGATGGAATGGCACATTCTGCATTTTTTCATCAAAATAAAGATCACAGCCTGTTTATTTTAAATTAAATTAGGCCCCCCCTCCCCGCTTTCCGTTTCATCCATAAAAATCAAACGTTAGCTTACTTACCACTAAAATATTTCTTTAATATATTACTTTTTTACGAAGTTGCATTTTATAAAGTCTTAAATGTGTACAACATTCATCTTTTACTTGATATGGTTCTTTTTTATCAAATTATTAGATTCCTGATTTTTTTCTTGAAAAAAACTCTCGGTTGAAGCGAAATGAAAAAAAAAAGTGTGTAATTGTAAATGCTCTTTTGTTCCTACGTTGGAAAGTTCCGGGCGGAAAGAACTAACTAGCCGAAAAGTTCCGGAGGAACTTATTAACTAGTTACTTTGTTCTTCCTCTGGTTTAAAAGTTCCACCGGAACAAAGTGACTAGTTGAAAAGTTCCAACGGAACATATCAACTTGTTAGAAAGTTCCTTTTTGCCAAATTAGTCAAAACCGGAACTAACAAACTAGCCCAAGAGTTCCAACGGAACTTATCAACCAGGCAGAAAGTTCCATTTGGAGAATTGATGCAAAGTAAAAGCGCAACATATTATATTTGAACCTTTAAAAGGGAAACCAAGATACTGAATATACCATATTTCGTCCTTTTTGTAGAAAGAGGGGGAAGAATGAGTATCAGTATATATAAGAGCAAATCATTAATTTACAAGAATACCCAACGCACTGAAAGGGGTTACTTTGGGGACAAATATGCAAAATTTAAGTTGTATTTCATAGCTCACATAAAACGGAATAAGTTGCATTATCATGCAAATTTAGTATTCATAGTACCCTCAAGAGAGGGAAGAATACCCCCCTCCTCATGTGGTTCTTTGCATCAATTCTCCAAATGGAACTTTGTGACTGGTTGATAAGTTCCGTTGGAACTTTTGGGCTAGTTTGTTAGTTCCGGTTTTGACTTATTTGCCAAAGAGGTTCTTTGTGGCTAGTTGATAAGTTCCTTTTTCCGGAACTTTTCGACTGCACTCGGAATAAAACAACTAGTTGGAAAGTTCCATCGGAACGAAATAACTAGTTGAAAAGATCCGCCGGAACAAAGTAACTGACGGAACATAGTGGCTGTTACATTTATACTATAACTTACATTTACTGCTTTATGGCTATCTCAGTTTCTCAAATGTTTAGTCTTGCAAAATGTATTATTACTTTCTTGAAACGTCGTACAAGTCAGATACAAAACAAAAGTAACAAAAAAACAGGCCGGAAACAACCTGCCGTATAGTTTTTCTGCACTTGTAGTCAGGTCAAGGTCCTCGGCTATCGCCTCGGACCTTGACCTGACTACTCGTGCAGAAAAACTATCCGGCAACGGTTGTTACCGGCCTGTTTCTTTGTTACCTTTGTATTGTATCTAATACATAATAGCTGTCACTTCCAAACATGATTTGTTTTAAGATTTCAAGTTCGAAATGGACGTTGAAGATATTTGCGTGTGGATTTGATAAAGCCCTAACGGTTTTGCGTAGAATTCATGTTTCCCATGCTAAGAATTCGACCAGCTAATTTAAAGTTTTTACATTGAGGTGCCATAAACACAAGCAGTTCTCGATGGTAGAACTTTGTATTGAACAGATACGTCATCTTTCTTTTTGTTTGTACCTTTTAGAAATTGACATATTGCATAAAAATACCATTTATTAATACTTTTTCATTTTTTTTTTTAAAGATTTCCTTATATAGTGATAGTGACTATGTTTCATAAAAGTACAATTCTTAGTCACAGACATAACTATAAGGTACAATTATTACATGCATGTGTGAACGGCAAAACAATGACTTAGAGGACTGACTTTCACATTCTTCTTCTTCCTTGTACATTTATAACTTTGAATGTTTTTTTCAATAATTAAAATTTGTTGCGTTAAATATAGTTGATCAGATTTATAGATAAAAGGGATGGACCCACAGTACTGTGGTAAAAAGGTCCTTCTTTCTAAATCAAGGCATTTACAAATCATAATGTAGTGGTACTCGTCATCAATGTCGCTTGAGTCACAGAGACGGTGGACTCTGTCTTCGCTCTGTTAACCCTGCCACCTCAAAGACTCAGTTGGCAGATTGTGAGTGACTATCACATTTATATTTTATGATTCAAAATCTTGTATTTTTTGTTTCTTGAATAAGAAATGTCAAATTTAATGAGATTAAGTATGTATTGTCTTGAACCTGATTAAAAAACCTTATAAAACAGGACATGACATGAAATCCAATTAAAAACTCAACCTAATTACAGTCAATTGTAATCTGTGAATAACAGTAGTGTCCTGGTATTTAATTCTTTTGCAAGTAAGTTGATAGTAGTTTTACTCTATGATATTAGAAAGTTCAAACGTAAGTTTACTGAATTTCATTATTGTTTTATTTCGATTAGAAAATACAAATATATCAGAAATGTATTTTTATTTAATTTCATCAAGATAAAAATAAATATAAATAAACTTGAATTTGCGATAATTTTGTATTTAATATACTTAATTGCCTTCCTGATTTACGCTATTAGATTTTTTTATATATCAAAAAATAAAAAAAATAATATTAAAAAAAAATTTAAATTACAAGGACTTTCTTGTATTTGTTGACTAACCTTTGAAAAATATATACACTGTATTATGAAGTGCGTTGTCATTGTAATTCGAGTCGCGTCAGTGACAAGTTACAGTCCGTTTTAGTCGGAATTAATAAACACATGTTGACACCGGTTTTTAATCCGATCATTTCAAGTAAAATGGACATGAAATATCCCAACAGCATTTTCCACTTTTAAATCATTTAATGGACGTTTTATTTTCTGTTCAGGAATTATTTTTCTGTAAATTGCATTAATCGTCATTTGAAATGCAGATTTTAATGAATGAAATTTAAATGTTTGTGATCGATGTTTGTGGTTATTCTATTTTTATGTACCTCGACATTATCTGGGAAAGTTTGAATTAAAACGTGACGTAAACTTGAATACATTATATCAACCCATATTCTAACCTTCTTTAATTATGGTCAATAGAAAACAAATATTGTGTAGCCATAACAGTCAAGCACAATGTAAAATAAGTCATTACTTGATCACACGCTTGACGAGAACTTCTGAATTCGGTAATATATATTATATTCTTTTTGCTCTCCGTCTTCTCCTTTTTATGTCAAATACAACTGTAATAAATATTTGATAAATAATGAACGCTTGATACGTTGAACGAGTTAGGATTCTCTTTTTGAATGTTCAACTGTTATGAAAATATTGTCATACAAAATTTTTATAACGGAAAAAAAAACGATAACTTCTTAAATCAGTAATTATTTTTTTAGATTGATCCATCACTTAAAAATCCAATAGTAAGAAACGATTTCAGCGTTTCCTTTATTAGCGATAGCGATTTCTCCTTGCGATTATTTGTTTTGTTGCTATAGTATTGCACCTTATACTGTTACACGTAGGTCACATTTCAGAACGGACTTTTAAATAATAATGACTAATTATCATTAAACTTAGGTTTAATAGTGAGAACGTTGATATAATCGACCAGAAGTGTAAATGTGCAAACAGGTAATGTAATCGCTATATTATTATCATTCTTTTATTAAAAGGCAGTATTTTCTTTTTCTTTTTTTTTTCAACTTTAATACAAGTGGTAAGGGTAAGATTTGGTGTCGCATATTTGTATTATAGTTCAAAATTGGAAACAATATACCGGTATAAATCTTTTCGTTCCAGATAAAAACCCTGGAGGAAATTTGTCCCAAATTCGGCAGAAATTTTTTTGACTGAATAGTTTAGAAAAAAAGTTTTTAATATAACTCACGGGAGTGTAATACAACTTGAGGAATACAACGAACATGACCAGTATAATAACGGGTTACATTATACCGGTCAACGGTTGATCGTTTTCGAAAGACGCAGATTTTATTAAATATATATTTATCATATATTCATCGCTAAGCGGTTCTAGTTCAAATGTTGTTTTCAAAATTGGAAAGGCAGAATTCAAATATTTGTAAAGAATAATAACATTGGTGATAATCATTTCTCGTGTGAATGACAAATTAATGACATCAATTGTATGATATATGTTATCAAATTATGATTTGATATACAGATTCTGTTTTGACATGAAATTTTCATTAATGTAAATTTATTTGATTCAAATTCTTGATACGAGCATGTCATGGGTATAATAAAAATCTTATCATTGTATTTATTTTGTCATTTGATTTCAGATTTCGTAAGAAAAAATGTCGGATCCTTTATTATGGAACTGTGATAGAGTGAAACAATTTTTATGTGAGAACGGGTTTCAAGAATACCAGAAACTACTATGTGATGAGAACAGAATCGACGGTCGTGTTCTTCTAACATTGACAGAAAAGGATTTATTTCAACTTCAAATATCAGCATTAGGCGATGTCAAAAGACTATTGTTTGCAATCCAAGACCTTCAGATCAGACAGAATTCACGGTTACAAGATCAAAATTATCATAATGACTGTCAATCCTCATCTTCTTCAGAAAGTTCCTACATGATAGATATTCTAGATTCCTCTGACGACGAAAAACATAACTATAGACCAAAACGGAAAATTAACCAAGAAATATGGAAGACGGGTGTCAGCATTGTCTATACATTTTTTGTACATTTTGTGACTAGTTTTGCCATCATAGTTGCACAAGAGCGCATGCCTGACAAAAAGAAATATCGCCCATTACCTGACGTTATGTTAGATAGCATATCTTATGTACCGTGGGCATATAAAGTGACAGAGGGGGTTATTTTAGCTGGATTTATTACGTATTTTATAATATTAGTGTTTCACAAATATAGGTACGTATATATTCAGATGAACAAAGCAAGAAAAACACAGTACTTTGTGAGAGGTTTAGCGCTTTAAAACCAGGTTTAATCCACCATTTTCTACATAAGAAAATGCCTGTACCAAGTCAGGAATATGACAGTTGTTGTCCATTCGTTTGATGTGTTTGTGCTTTTGATTTTGCCATTTGATTAGGGACTTTCCGTTTTTAATTTTCCTCGGAGTTCAGAAATTTTGTGATTTAACTTTTTGCAGAGAATATCTTTTCATTTTTAAGCAGAAAATTAAAGAACATATATAGAAAGACAGTTTATGCTCCGTTCGGATTTATATCACCAACAAGGAAACCAAAGTATAAAATAAAATTAAGAAGATATGGTATGATTACCAGTGAGACAACTCTCAACCAGAGACCAAATGGCGTAGAAGGTTGGCAACTAGATGTCATCGTACGGCGTCCAACAAGATATATAAGCCTTTGAAAATTTGGCAGGAATCGATTCTCTCTAGATTTTCATAAAATTAACATCAGCCCCTTTTTTCTTTCAAAAACTATGAAAAAAATAACAAGGATTTTATAAGATTTTCAAATATGGCTTTTTAAACTATATGTTATAAAATATGAAAAGAAAAGTAAGGGTTTGTGGGCAAACATTTTAATGGCACTACATGGATAAAACCAGTAGATTCCAAAAATCTGGCAAAAATTCAAAAACAAGAGGAGCGAACATCCTTAAAGGCCCCGAAATATCAAACATAAAACAATTCAAATATAAAAAAGAAGATGTGGTATGATTGCCAATGAGACAACTCTCAACAAGAGACCAAAATTAATGACACAGAAATTAACAACTAGAGGGTACCGTGCGTCCTTCAACAATGAGCAAAGCCGCATAGTCAGCTATAAAAGGCCCCGAAATGACAAATGTAAAACAATTCAAACGAGAAAACCAACGGCCTAATTTGTGTACAAAATAATAAACGAAAAACAAACAAGTAACACAGCAACAAACGACAACCACTGAATTACAGGCTCCTAACTTGGGACAGGCACATACAGAATGTGGTGGGGTTAAATATGTTAGCAGGCGCACAACCCTCCCCTAACCTGGGACAGTGGTGTAACAGTACAACATAAGAACAAACTATAGAAATCAGTTGAAAAAGGCTTAACTCATCTGATGGATACAAATAGAAATACATCTTACAAAAACACGGAGTGGACGTGGCAGGGTACTTATACATCCCAACAACAAAAAGACACTTAAGTACAGATCTGAGAGTACTCGCAGTTACTGACAGCTAGTTCAAAGCCAATAACAACTAATAAAAAAAATCATGCATCTAAGACTAAATGCTCATTTCGTGTAGCTGTACATAAACCGTCCCTCGAATAGTAATTATGGTAAAGGTAATGGATTTCATTTAAGTCTCTTTAAGCAAGTACGAAGAAGACGAAACAATACCATTTAAAATAAGTATCAAAGCTGTTTTTTTGTTATGTGTTAACCTGCTTTCTCTCTAGATATTTAAAAGTCACGTTATTGAAATGTTCAGGTCTATATTAAAGTAAAAGTTAATTTTTGTATTAGGATTTGACACGCGATCTTCAAACATGCATTGTCAGAAGAAAGTCAGACTGATCTCCAAAACCTAATAATAGGAGTACTAACCCTAAGCTGCTAGGTAATCCTTGCATGCTTGGAGATTTAATGTAATCCATAATACTTAGGGTATGTAGTCATAATATATAATTTGATAATAACTTATAAAACAATTTGTATATTTTCAGGTTTATAATACTCAGAAGAATGTTTGTCATTGCCGCCTCCATATTTTTATTTCGCAGTATATGTGTTGTCGTCACCTCATTACCTATGCCTCAAGAACATTTTAACTGTGAAAAACTGGTATGTTGTCACAATTTTTAAACGAATGTTATATCCAATATATATAAAGTCAACTATGTCCATACATAATTAATTTTAGTCACAGAGAATATGCACCGCATTGTCGATTGATTATAGTTAGAGGCCGAACGCCCAGTATTACAGATAAGTACTCGAAACGAGGCCAAATTAAATTATGAAACACTCAAAAAGCTTTTGACAAGATTTCGAATGGTATAAAGAATGGGTATTTTTACAATAAGATTTGTGGTATTCTCTTTGCATTGTTATAGACAAACAAATGGAAACAAACATTCAGAATCCACCGCTGTATAGCGTCAACTTAGCCTCTCACAATCTTTTTCTCATATATATATATATATGTATACAGCTTTGAATTTAGATTGAACGTGTCTACTCCGACGAATTACAATCATAATACTTTGCTTGTAAAAAATCTTTGTGTTAAGTTTGATCTAATTCAACATTATTGATACGCATGATCAACAAATGAAATTAAATGAAAAAATGAAGCAGACATAATGTAGAATTTAAATAAACACGATTCAAAAGATGTAATAAGTTTTAAAAAAATCTTTAATAACTGCACATGTAATGTTAAATTATATTTTTAGGTATTTAAAAACGGCTGGGAAAGATTTTCCAGAGCACTAGAGATTTATTCCGGAATGGGAATGAAAGTCTCCGGATTAAAAACTTGTGGAGATTACATGTTCAGTGGACATACAGTCACCATAACAACTCTCATTCTTCTCATAAATGAATGTAAGTAAATTTTATTTATGTCCCGTTACATCACATTTTCTTCGTAATATCATATGGAACTCAATAAATTATGATTTACATTAAAAAAAAAGTCCAACGACACGAAAAGAGAAAGAAAAAGAAATAAACACTTATATTATCAGCCATACTGGAGACATCTTCAGTATCTAAATGACCAGTTGTAAACAGATTCAAAATATAGAGTCCCCTTTGTAGATTATTCTAACTGTCGGGTATCCCGTGTAATTGAAAATGATCACAGCTTTTTGCTACAGCTATAGTTTTACTTTTTAAAGATTTAACTATTCCTTTTGATTCACATAAAAAGTCAGAAGTAGAGCCAATTTCCCCGGAATTTATTTTTCAACAAGACCATATTCAAAAAGTCTTTCAATATTTACTTAAATTTGTAGTATCACAGCCCAATGTGTGTACGTTGACAACGTCATAATTTTATTTTTTTTAATTTCAGATACACCAAAAAGATGGATATTACTACACACACTGGTGTGGATTGTGGGGTTGTTTGGTATTTTCTTCATTTTAGCAGGACACGGACACTATACCTTAGATGTGATAGTAGCATTTTATATTACATCACGGTTATTTCAATATCACCACATCCTAGCAAACAATAAGACTTTAATGACAAGAGATCAGAGTAGACTTAAGAAATGGTTCCCAGTCTTTCATTTTTTCGAATCAAATTGTGATGGAATAGTTCCAAATGAATACGAGTGGCCATTAACTATTGTGGAATCAGCAATGCAACGGTGTGCAAAACTCAGGAACTATATATCTTCATTGCTTTCAAGAGATAAACAGCTGATCTAGTATTTTCTAACAACGAGATGACATCGTTATATTTTGATCGCTTTGAATTCTCAATTACATTTTGAAAATACATTGACTCCAGCACAAAACCAATGCATCTAAATCGTTTCTGTCTATCAATCGATTCTAGTATTTAGTATATTGTTGTTCTGATAGTATCATTTGCGAAGCACTTGTGTTTGATTTGAAATTAAGTGGTGAAGGCAAAAGTCGATATTAGGGCCATTGTTTTAAAGAATGTGACAAGTGTTTTGTGTGTTTTCGTTTGTTGCTTAGTTATACAAATCTGATAACATTGATGAAGTCAGAAACAGGAACTGAAATAGTAAAACGAAATATGAAAGCACATTGAGCCAACGGTAGTATTTTGGATTTTGGATTTTAATTGACATTATATTTTTACACAGAACAGTATTTGTACTGTAATAACGCTAATATGAGAATCGGATTCATGTTTTTTTTGTCATATTGAACATCCTCCATAACTTTATTTTTAAAGTTTTTATTTATTATTTATTTATGATTTTAACGTTGTTATACAATTTTATGGCATTATTACATGAATAAATTTTATTTTATTTTTTATGTCGTTTTTCGATTTCTATTATGATATGATTTGTTGAAATTATTTTTATAACGATAATTTCTCTTGTTTGTTAGAGTGTAATGTTCTTTTCATATTGGAAAAGGAAACATAAAAGTAGAATGTAAGACGGGTTTATCTGTAATTGACCTAGAAAACATGGGCGCATCTATTAACATCTCACGTGACCAATCCGCCATTACAACCGTGAAAAATAACGCACGTGTATTGATCAAAACATTATCGATTTTCTGTTTACATTTGGATTTCTTTCATTTTCTGATTTATTTTACTATGGATGCTGCCGAAAATTATAAAAAAAACATGGAAGCATTTCTTGTGCAGTCAATAGTTGTACAAATAATCGTAAAAAAAATTCAGGAGTGGAAAAAATCAATATGCGAATTACACAACGAGTTGCCGCACAATGACTGCCCTCGTTTGATTCCATATACGTCTTATGTGATGCCTTCAGACGAGTCAACAAACCTGAGTAGACCAAAGCCGTATAAACATAAAAGAAAACTCTGCATAAACAGGTTTTTGTATGATCCAGACATTTTTTTTGGATGATGCGCCACTGCACGACAATCCGTTTTTTTTTTTAATAAAACTTGTTATGAAAGTAAAATAACTCTGACCGACGAATGTTTACACGTTGTAAAACGACTGTTAAAAACTTAAATTAATCTATAAAATTTAATCCGATGACTACAGTGCATCTGCCTCTTTTTGTATAGAAAATCCACCGCTACATCAGATGCGGATCCAGGATTTTAAAAAAAAGGGGGGAGGGCGCGTGCCCCCAAACTTTTGTAGTGGAAGCGGTAAAATGTCTGGATTAACCATAAATGAAGCTAATAACAATGAAACCTACCCCGAGGCTACATGTAGTTATAATTGCAAGCAAATCAACCCAGTGTGAAGAGACGAACTTTTTTCATTCATGACTTCTATAGTATCTTTATGCTGCAAAATAGACAGACATTCCGACAATATTAACTCAGACAAAAATATTGTTAACAGAGGAGTAAGGAGTTCAAAATTAAATAAAAGGGAGGGGGAACCTCGTCAGACGTTTAAGAAATATTATGAATGACAGTGACGCCTTATTGTATATTTATGTAACTAAGTTTTCTTTACTTTAGTGGAATTACTACACAATTTAATTTTCAACTACGATATTGCAGATCAGCTGTTGCTCGATCGTACTGATGAGGTTAATACTTAGTTTGATATTTGGTAATTTTGGACGGCGCTTTAATATTTCGAAAAGTAAGGCTTGTAAAATATTTTATTCCTGGGTGCAGTTCTTGCTGAAAAACTTAAAGGTTTTATATATATATATGTAGGTCTGTGTGCTTATGGTATATTTTCACTTTATTTTCTTTATAAGACGTATACAGTTACTTCTGTTGAATTGAACTTTCCTCAGTAGAATATTCTGTGCATGAATTCTAAAATTTTATACATTAGAAAGGATTTTTCAAAGGTCTAACTCAAATAGTTTACTAGAACCTACGAAAGCGTAGCTATACCGGTAATCCGACAACCTTAAATTCCTACACTTCAGTAGTCCGACGGTCCGAAATACACCCCTAATGTTATATTGTAATACTGTATTTCACTGTATTATATACATCGGGGACTTATATAAGAGTTTAATGCGGATTAGGGATGAAAATCTACGAGACCTCTGTTTTGGAGTGGTTGGGAGGGGAGTTGGCAAAACACTAAATGACACTTCTAAAACATAACTAATCATCGCTTTGAATTTACATGTTGGAGTCTTTGGTGGTTTAATGGCATTCATTTATATTAAGCATGGATCATGATGTTATATACTATACATACTATAGTAGTTGTATGTCGAGTAATTTTCTGCAAAAGAAATTGGAATCGAACACATAATAACTTAAACTATAGGAATACATGGGCCGTGAAAGTTCAAAACTTCTTAAGCCCATATTCTAATCGCAAAGTTATATCTACATATGGCCCGACGCATCGATAGCATATAGCGGAATTCATGCGGACACCAAAGTAATACGAAAATGTCACCGTGCTCAGTTTTGAGCATTATACGTGAGTCAAGCAAAAAGCACAAAACTCTCGTCTCTGTAGGACCGTCTGATTAGTGGATTGTTAAATTTTAGGACTGTCTCATTATAGGTCTGACCACAGAAATTTCTATGATTTGATAAAATTGCACCCTGGTTTTTCTGATTTATACTGCACTCGTTCTATTTGAGCAGTCAAAATGCGTTGACCGTATATTTCTATGTCATATACAGTCACTGACCTGATATCACTTTTCCTCATGAATATTTAAATAGAAATTGCCAAAATTATATTTAATTATTCATACGACCTATTCAACCTGTTCTTGTTTCCAATGTATACAACGACTCAAACTTATTTCTTTTGCAATTTTTAGAAGAAAAAAAAACATATTTGACTTGTTAATATTTTTGGTTTGCAAACTATAAATCATTATGTTTTATGCTTATTGTTGATATTTTAGTTCATTCTCAAACAAATTCGTTCACCATCGATTGCGGGTTTCAACAGGTAATGTACATTTCATTGTGTTGTATATTTCTCCGCCTGCATGATATGAGGCCTTTTTATATAAGGGGGAAGTTTCCCAATATTTAAATCAAATAATAACATTAACACACTAAACAACAATTGAAAATGTTTTTTTTTTAGATTGCAGTATAAAGACAATAATAGTGCATTGACTTGACATATCAACGATATAAGGATTCGGCCCGAAACGGAAAAAAGCTCGGCAGAGCCTCGCATTTCCCCGTTTCTAAGCCTCATCCTTATATCGTTGATATGTCAAGTCAATGCACTATTATTGTCTATATATCACATATGCGACCGGTCAGGACTATTTATTTTTTATTTATGTATGCGTTATAATTATTAATATTATGATTACCAAATGATTGTAATCGACATGTAACCTGGGATTAGTATTCGTATAAAATTTATTATGTCCCGCGTGTAACATATCAAATACAGTTATATTTTAAGGACACGACACCTGGTCTGCAATACACTTAGAATCCTTATCTAATTACTTTATTATTTATAGCACATATAATTTTGCCGAGGTCAAGTACGACTTCACATTCTTGTGTTTACATTTAATTATATGCGGTCAGGGCATATAGATCTATATCTTATATTTTTTCACGGTTGTAATGGCGATCGTACTACGACGACGCCTAGGAGTCGCGTCACAAACTAAGGCAGATAATCGGAAAAACCTGTCTTATCTATCAATGCAAAACATTTTATCATAAAAGTGTGAGATAGATACTCCTACAGACTGATTCATTCAATACTAATAAAAGACAGGTTACAATACAGTACGTCAAGCTCTAAATCGCCCGTGCCTAATTAAACAGAGCCTTTCAAAGATCTGCCATAAACACTCCAAAGACTATTAACATTACGTTATGACTTAACAGAATAACATTAAGTTATGACTTAAGGTGGTACCCAACACCTTGACTAATATTAATTTGGCTCGTTTAATTTTCATAAAATTTTGACAAAATGTTTACTTTGACCCTTTGACAAAAATATAAAAATTTCAAAAAATTTGAACCAACCACTTTATCAGAAAAATTTCATTGGTTATATAACAGTTTGACAAACACTAATTTTGATCATTGAGAAGCTTACTATTTCCTTAACAATACAACGTAATTAAAACGTTTAGCTGATTTTTACAGAGTTATCTCCCTGTAGTGTTAGGTACCACCTTAACAGAATAACATTAAGTTATGACTTAACAGAATAACATTAAGTTATGATTTAACAGAAAAAAACACTTACCTCTCAAATGACGGTCTTCATATATCACAAATACAACTTAAAGTAAACAATAATATAAAAAAAAGAAGAAATCACGCGTCCTACACTCAAAAACACAGGCATTTTATATTACATCAGGCATTTGTCTCTGAAAAATACCTATATACCTTAATATATTAAGGTATATAGGATTTTTATTTTCAGAGACAAGTGCTTGTACTCAAAAACCGTTGGATGCACCTCCGAGCAGATTTCATACGTGAACTTTAAGAGTTCAAGAACAGGCGATCTAATGCAATGTTATTTAAAGATCAAATATATGCAGAAAACATCAAACATTTCAGTCTCGTTCCAAACAAAAGACCAGCCAATGAATGACATCCTCCAAAAAAGCACATAGTTAAACATCTTGACAGCAAAATAGAAATTGTTAGCTCAATAAGAAATATTACCATAAACAGCTTGATGTGAAATAATTCTGGTTATCAAATTTCTGCAGGTGCAATCATATTTCTCTAAGAAATCTCTATATTTGTGATAATATTTAGTAAAAGTTTGAATAAAAAGTAAATTAACAAAAATACCGAACTCGGAGAAAAATACAAAACGAAACGTCCCCAATCAAATGGCAAAATCAAAAGCTCAAACACATCAAACGAATGTATAACAACTGTCTTATTCCTGACTTATAGATTATTTATTCAAGCTAAACATCCAGTGGCATATATGTCATGAATACCCAGGACGAGAAATCAACAATTGATAAGTTATACGTATGTTCTGCATGGTAGGTCGACCAGGATAAAGGGTCGACAATTGGATTGCAACTGAAAAATAAGGACAAACAGAAAAGAGGCATAACTGTTGCCTGTGACTTTTGCAAGGCAGCATTTCTGCCATATTGTATTTGCCCTTATATTCAAGCTGCTGTCGAAAACTTTTACAACATTGATACAGTTATCATAGTTTGGTCAAACTGTGACTTTGTAGAGAAAAGTTTGACCGACTTATGATAACTATCCCTACTATCTAATGTAATATCATACGTTCATGTTTAAAATCTGAAATCTGAGACGTCAGGCAACAACGAGAATATCGATCCAGCTTTGAAATGTACACTTCATAGGAAGGAGCACGGTAATATTACCACTAAGGCAAGGGAAATTAA